AAAAAAAAAAAAAAAAAAAAAAAAAAAAAAAAAAAAAAAAAAAAAAAAAAAAAAAAAAAAAAAAAAAAAAAAAAAAAAAAAAACTCAGTCACCAAAAAACTTGCGAGTTTTCCAACGACCGCTGAGTTTCGCGGAACCCACGCGAAACGACAGCCACACCTCGCTCAACCTTCAGCCCACGACTCCTAGAATTGATTAGAGTACCTGCAAACAGAGAAAAGAACGAAAATACGAGAGAGAGAGAGAGAGAGAGAGAGAGAGAGAGAGAGATTTCGGATAACATCGACGAGTTTTCAATTCCTCTGACAAGTCCCAAACCACTCTAAAACCGACGCCAAACGCTTAGTTACCACCCCGAGAAGGATTCTCAATGAAAGCACAATAACTTAGAGTATGTTTTGTGCCTTTTCGTAAGCGCTATCGTCGGTAACCGAGGTCAAAAAATTGAATTTTCCTAAACGTTCTTAGATATGTGGTTTTAGGAACTTTTGGGCCACTAAACTTTGAGGAAGGAAAGAAGGACGACAAACAGAGAGGAAAAGGAAGAAAGAGGACCAAAATTGGCAACGGAAACACCGTGGGAAGGAGAGAGAAAACGCGCCAAAAAATCGGCCGAAGTTGAGTAAGGAAGACGAGATCCACGAATCCGGGTCAACCCCAACCCAAAACCTAATAGAGCAACCCGACTTCTTTCCCCTCGACCTCTGCCTTCGGTCCAGCCCAACTACAGTGGCCCAAACCTCAATCAAGCCCAGAAGCCACGGATCAGCTGAACCGACCCGAGACCAGACCCACGGTCCAATCGAATCGGCCTGCAACCCAAACGCTTGCGGCCCAATCCAGTGAACCAAGGCCCAACAACCAGCCCGCCCTAGTAGCCTTCTGTAGCAGCCGACCCGAACCAGAGTGCGACCCGCGCCTCAACCCTACGCCCACCACACGATGTGACATGCTCTACTTTTGCCATGTGGCACGCAGCGGCACAAGCGGTCCCTCGACTCGGCTCGGCACAAATGGCTCGGCGACTCCCAGTGGCTGTTTGGCTCGGCTCCCCTATTTTCAGCCTGATTTCCACTGTTTTACCCTCCCGGACCTATTTTCGGCCCTGATTAAGGTATCTGAGGTCGTTTTAGAGCCATATTTCATATTTATTGAATTATTGGTAAATTAATTGTGAAATATTAACTGAAGGTGGCGAACGGTGTGATAGGAAACAAACCCCGGCAACGTACGAAGCAGCTCTCACGAAACGGGAGCTTAGGTTTAGCTAATTAGGGAGTACTTCGGCCAAGGCCAACCAAGTAAGGGGTCTTACTATAGAATAGGCTAAAGATTGCTTGAATTATGATGATGTATGAGTATGACGTTGCGTTGTGATGTATGTTAAATGAACGTTATTTATGTTTTGATGCATGATGTACATGTTATATCTGATGCACTTAATTGCTTCTATGATGAGTATGATGTTTTCCAGGTTGAACATGCCTTATGATGGTGTTTGCCATATTGCATCATGGTGTTAGATTGACATAGGACACAACCCTAAGAGTATGAAAATGATATTAATGTAAATATCCACGAGCATATGTTACATAGTGTAACGAAGAGATGAGACTAGAGGGTTGTGTTAGATGAGATGTATAATTGGATTTAGAGGGACCTCATGCATATTGTATGTTCATAAGCATAAGGCTACTTCCCTGTAATGCCCGCTCATCGTCAACGCGATTAACAGGAGTTACCATCGACAACGATAACAAACTCTGATATCCAATCATAAAACTCAAAATATTTCTAAAAACATCCAGTAAAACATTTAAAACCAGTACTTTTAAAAACTTAAAACGACTAAAGTAAATTCTTGACAACGAAAGCATAAGTACACAAAACAGACACAGACATAGATTCCCAGTAGTCTTCAACCCGCTGGTCTCGTCCTCGGATGGCCTGCATCATCTAAATCTGGAAAGAAAAGTTATAATAATTTTGATGAGTAATTAGATTACTCAGTAAGTAGCTAGCTTATCATTCAAGAGTTCATAACTAATCTTTCCAGGTGTTTTCAAGTTTTATTCATCATTGACTCCTAGTTCTCTTACTAGGGTCATCTGTTCGTTAATGAGGTATCTCAGCTACCTCCAGCTAGGTTACTGACTCTCTCTCGATATGCTTATCTAGAATTTTCGGACTCGTATGTAAGACTCGCTCTCGGTCAAATACGGCCCGTCTACTAATTGCTCTGGCGGCCTGTTTATCTCATATACCAACGGTCAGGAGTACTCATGCTCCCTGACTTAGCACACAGCGCATTGGCCAGGAACTCCGCGGGAATTAGTAGACTATCATACTCATATAAATAAGCCATAGCTCAACAACCAATAAGCATATCTAGAGTTATAACCTTTCCATTAACATGCATAACATACTCACAGTTACTGCATGCTTTCATACATGTATCATGTTCAACACATAGAACATTCTGACAATCATTTATATCATGTTTACATCACAGACAAGCAGTCACAATATACAATAAACACTCAATATCATCAAAGCTCATCATAACATACTAAGCTCTTAATCAGGTAAACAACACACTCACATGTTGTAAAACAAGTTAAGAACTAGTTCATAGATCGATACGCTACTTACCTGGTTTCGAATCCCTCTCTCTTGATTGTACATTTAATAGGGTATTTCAACACAATTCCTTCCAATTAGACCTATATTTCACCATTTTCAAGGTAGGTATAGGTCAATCTAGGTAGAACAGGTCAAAACAAATCGAACGGGACAAACCGGGAACCGAAATGATGCTTCACGCGCCCTCACGCGCCCTCACATCCTCGGTGTGTCTGTCCCACGCGCCAGGAGCACACCCAGTCGCACACCCAGTCGCGGCCCTCACGCGCTTCTTCTTCTTCCTTCCGTTTTCTGAAATTTTTCCATCTTTTCTGTTAATACCTACTATATCCGGAAGCCATATCCTCCTTCTACGATTCGAATTTCATCCTGATTCCTTCTACAAATTTATAGATCTCCTTATTACGATTCTAAAAAGCCCTATTTCATAACTTATTATATAATATGAACCAAGATATCGAAATTTAAAGGTTCGGTGATATGGATTTTTCGTTACCTTTGCGACAACCGCTTAAATTAGCTTAGTTCAGAGCTTCAATGGCTAGAAAGCCTTCACAATCGTCTCCCCATCCTCATGTTTGCACGTTGTCACAACAAACGCCAAAGAACGTTAAGGTTTTGCCGGAAAACACGGATAACATTCTCTGTTTTCTGTTTCCCTCTTCCTCTGTTTCTTCGAAAATATTTGGTGCTTCCTCGTCGGCCTTACCAACGCCAACCACCACCACCATCCAAAACACTAACACAAAATAAAATCACCCTTCTTCATCCCACACCTCCATCTTCCTCTCTTTTCTTTCTTTTCCCTTCAATCCACCTGTCCATTCTTCCTTTCTCCATGGCAGCAGCTTCAAGCTGCTGCTGTCTTTTTCTTTTTCTTTTTTTTTTTAAATTTATTTATTTTTATTTTTATTTATTTTTATTTATTTATTTATTTATTATTTTCGGATTATTACAATCCCCTAGAGATGATGAGTGCGGACATGCACCGTATGATGAGCGCGAATGCGCACAGGTGCGAACACACACAGATGAAGGTGTTCATGAGGCGCATGACACTATGGGGTTCCGTTGACCTCCGGACGGTCCAGGGGGTGTGCGAGTGCCCTGAGATTCACACTCGCACGTGTGAGTCATGTGTAGGGAAGTACTACACATCCAATTTATCCGAGACTAGAGGCCACCCCTAAGATGATTAGAGATAGGTCCCTAAATCATGATTGCATGTGTTTGCATTTGCATGACCCCCTATAGTAGGGCCACTTATTGAGTATTTTTTGAAATACTCAAGCAGTGTGCCATATCATTTCTCAGGTAAAGGCAAGGCGCACTTGTACGGAGGACGGCGGCATCGCGAGCAGAGACTGTGGCACGTGCATAGGGTAGACTCATATTGAAATTCCTAATCTTAAGTTAGAATAAGTTGTTTTGCATTTTATTGTTTTAAACTATTTTATATTTGTTTTTATTTTTCTCTAAATTTCAGTATTTTTTTCATAAACACATAAGACCATGACTATGTTTTTCAAGAGAAGAAATTGTTTCAAGCATTTTTCGAAGTTTACGTTATAAATGATGTAAATGTAAGAGTTATATTTTTGCATTATAGATGAGCATGAGACATTAGTAACGACTCTGAGTACGTGGAAATTTAGGGTCGTTACAACATAAGTTAGGTTGGGATGAATTAGAAAAAAAATATTTGGACTAACCTAAAATTTTGAGTTAGTTAGGTTAGTAGCAAAATTCACAACCTAACCGAATCAAACCGAACCGAACTGAACCAAACCCTCTTTATTTTCAAAAAGTGTGACTATAGTTTGCAAGTTTAAGACATTAATGAAATTGATTAATTCATATACTTGTCGTTGCAATTAATACGTTGATGAGTGAACTTTAAGATACTTTCAATATCATTTCTTGAATCAATATTAGATGCTATTAATTTTGACAATAATTATGAAATCATATCTCATTAATGCAACCTAAAAATGACTTCAAATCGGTTGTTTAAGACGTCCAATTCAAAATTCTTTTAAAGGGGGATTGATTGTTCATTTACCCAAATATATTTAAAAAATAAAGTTCATAAAATTTAGAGATTTAATCCGACTTAATCAATTAATTAGTTGATTAAGAACAGCAAGAACTAAAATGATGGATTTGGAGGAATTTATTAAAACCAATAATAATTGGGTGAGGGTTAGAGCCGGCCTATTTTTGAATCGGAATTCGTCGAATTTGAAGCTTCAACAATGGAGGCTCCCCTTTATGATTTCATAATCCTAGGCGCCTCTGGGTTCACCGGCAAGTACGTGGTTCGAGAAGCCCTCAAATTCCTCAACCCTTCTTCCCCTTCTTCCCCACTCAAATCCTTCGCTCTTGCCGGTCGGAATCCCGCAAAACTGACGGAAACCCTCAAATGGGCAGCGCATCCCAACTCACCGCCGCCGATCCCGCTTCTATCCGCGGATGTTTCCGATCCACAATCCATCCACCGCATCTGCACCCAAACCAAGCTCATTCTCAACTGCGTCGGACCCTTCCGCCGCTACGGCGAGCCTGTGGTGGCGGCGTGTGTGGAGACAGGTTGCGATTATTTGGACATCTGTGGGGAGCCGGAGTTCATGGAGAAAATGGAAGCTAATTATCATGAGAGAGCGGTGGAGAATGGTTGTTTGGTGATTTCGGCTTGTGGGTTCGATTCGGTTCCGGCTGAATTGGGTTTGATGTTCAATTCCAAGCAGTGGGTTGGGGAATCGGCGCCGAATCGGATCGAGGCGTATTTGAGCTTGGAATCGAAGAGGAAAATTGTTGGGAACTTCGGGACTTTTGAATCGGCTGTTCTTGGTGTTGCTAATGCCGGCCGGTTAGTGCAATTGAGGCGTTCAAGGCCCAGAAGACCTCGCCCTACGGTCAGCAAATTTCTTCAAATTTACATTAATCAAAGCTTTAGTTTCTGGGAATGTTTGAACCATTTGTTATGATTATTATGTGCTGATAACAATCTGTTTAGCTTGCTTTTATGCATAAACTTGCAATATGTTGTGTATTTTGTTGTCTCAGATTCGTGGTCCTCCTCCTCCTAAAGGACCTACTGTAGAACACAACAAAGAGACAGGCCTTTGGGCTGTAAGATTACCTTCAGCTGATGCCACTGTTGTTCGTCGAACACTCTCTTTTCTAGCTGAAAACCCTCATGGTCTTCCTGGTGTTAACGAGCGTGTCGAAGAGATCGAACAGAGGACGACGTTTTGGTCGTCGGTGAAGCCAGCTCATTTTGGAGTAAAAATTGGTTCCAAGTCCTTGATTGGCACTCTGCGGATCATTGCAGCTGGAATGTTCATAGGGCTGTTTGGTATAACCTCATTCGGGAGGTGGCTTCTCTTGACGTTCCCTTCGGTTTTCAGTCTCGGTTGGTTCAAGAAGAAGGGTCCTTCGGAAGACGAGGTCGATAGCGCCTCGTTCAAGATGTGGTTTGTTGGTCATGGTTTTAGCAACAAGAGTGGTGAAGCGAATGGAGAACCAGATATGAAAATTGTAACGAGAGTGATGGGGCCTGAGATCGGATATATAACCACGCCGATAATCCTTGTTCAATGTGCATTGATTGTTCTAAGCAAACGCGAGGTTCTGCCAAAAGGAGGAGCTCTCACTCCAGGTATCGTGTTCGGACCTACTGATCTTCAGAAAAAACTCGAAGAGAATGGGATATGTTTTGATGTGATTTCAAAGAATGCTTAGCGGGTGAGTAATGTTTTTTTAGAATATGTGTCGTAACTTTTGCTGGATTTGTTTCTTTTGCATCTGAAACTGATCTCTGTGATATACTTTAGGTATGTAAGATTACTCTGTTGGTTTTCTTTCGAGAATTGAAGTTGGGCCCGTAAGAGCATTAGACTTAGAACTGAAGTTATTCCATAGTCTCTATGCTTTGATACGCCCTCGTTACATGCTCGGTACGTTTAGATACCATAGTAGTACGAACGAGTATAAAACTACTCATTAAGTAGCTCATATATAGGAAAATTATCGTTCGTAATCGTTTATGTGAGATCCTATATCAGTTGGGGAGGAGAACGAAGCATTTTCTATAAGAGTGTGGGCCGGTGATAAGCCAGAGGAAGGTGAGGAGTCAAGTCATCATGCCCCTGATGCCCTGGGTGACACACGTGCTACAATGGCCGGGACAAAGGGTCGTGATCCTGTTGAGCTAACTCCAAAAACCCGTCCTTAGTTCGGATTGTAGGCTGCAACTCGCTCGCATCAAGTCGGAATCGCTAGTAATCCCCGGTCAGCCATACGTTCATTCGTTCCCGGGCCTTGTACATACCGCCCGTCACACTATGGGAGCTAGCCATGTCCTAAGTCGTTGCCTTAACCGCAAGGAGGAGGATGCCGAAGGCAGGGCTAGTGACTGGAGTTCAGTTGTAACAAGGTAGACGTACTGGAAGGTGCGGCTGGATGTAAGAGTGGAAACTTCTCCTTGGCAAACACGTTTTAAAAACCTTGAAGGAAGCCCGAACTAAAGTCTTACAGTATATCATGAGTTTTAGCCTAAAGTCTTTGTTATATTCTGAATTAAACATACATCTTTATTATACGATATTAGACCGTCCATTAAAATTTTATGCACAGTGGATACCATTTAGTTGGTTAATTCAATTTAGGTCTTCAAATCACGTTTGTTGGTCACATCTTTTTATTATTATTATTATTATTCCCGAGTTATCTTAAGGTTTTAGGTAGTACCAAGTGATTTTTAAAGTATTCTTAAGGAAAGACCAAATTAGCTACTTACTTGCTCGGTTGTGTTTGGAACCTCAATTCTCGCACCCAGAGACTCAAATTTCTCCAATTTTCTTGTATATGACATCTATTATGTCAACATTAAATAACTAAAAAATATTTGGGTGAAACTAGTCTGAAAAAGGGTAAAATAGGCCAAAGAAACGATAGAGGTCATTTTTAGGTGACGTGACTAGTTCAAGTAAACTAGTCACATCATCATTTTCAACCTTTGTTTAAAGGGAAGACGAGCATGGGTAGTGCTCGATAACTCTTAAATTACTTTCACCTGTCTTGTGACACAATCGCACTTTTGAATGCAGCGGACTAGCGATTGTGCGACACTCACTTTCCAATGACAAGTAAGCTAAGCCAATTTGTTCTTGCGTCGCCTACAGCCAAGCGATGTATGATCGAGCCTCTAGTCTCGGTTTTAAAAGAAGGTTTTAGAAAACGAGGAGAGAGAGATTTTAGAAGGAGAGATTTTTGAAAGAGACGTTATATATAAGCAAGCAAGAGAGAGATAACAACGGCTTAACATATATAACCTTGGGTAGGGAGAAGTTGACAACTAATCATATCCCCTATAGTACATTCTTAAGCATTATGTCTGGCAGGCCTAGACATGATATTTTTTAAAATTGTTAAAGAATAAATAATAATAATAATAAAAAAAGGAATTTTTGAGGTCTACCACTGAATTTTCTTACTCCATTCAGTCCTCCACATCGGATGCATTTGTTAGGGGTGTATATGGGTTGAATTGAGTTGAGGGAATTTTTTGGACCAACTAAAAAATTTCGGTTCGTTAGGTTGGTAACTCAACCCAAACCGAAAAATTTTCACAACCCAACTCTCTATTTTCGGGATGTCTCGGGTTGTTAAAATAATAATTGAAGAAACTTTTATTTATCCACCATTTATGATTATTTGATACAATCTTATATAAAATTTTATTAACATGTCTTAATATATTTTATAAAATTTTATTCATTTTGGGTCAACTCGAGGTTTTTATGCAGTGAACCTGAAACCAAATCAAATCTATTCGAGTTTAGAAAAATCAACCTAGCCTAACTCGAAAGGTTAATCCAATCCAACTCAACTCTTACAAATTGGGTTGAATCGATTCAGGTTGTCGGGTTCAATGTACACCCCTAACATTTGTGGCAGAGCATAATAGGTCATATTAAAATTTGGAGTGACGGAGAGGACAAATCTGCGTGAGAGCTAGTTTTCCAATTTTCAATTTGTAGGGCTATTTTTGGGATAAACCTTCTAGACTAATTTTTCAATTTTGACATTTCATGCAAATTCCTCTCCTTTTTTTTTTTCTTTTTTTTTAATTTTTTTATAAAATTCTTCTCCTTATTTCGGTCAAACCCGAGACAAACCCGAGAGTTGAATACCCATAGTTTAAGTCTCAAAATCGAACTACTCACTTGCCTTCCTATATGGAAGGTGTGAATTTCATGTGATGAAGTTATGTTATATGGAAGGAGTGTATTTAGTCAAAGTCAACCTTTAACGAAGAACTACCAAAGTTAAAGTCTCCGAAGTTTACAACTCACGGAAGATTAAGATCTAATCGTAAAATATCAATTTTCTTAATTAATAAATTTATAAAAAGATATTAAATATTTCAAAATTTAATTTTATACAAACTCATGGAATGGAATACTCTCACTCACATGTATCCATACGAATGATTTAGATCAAATCATTAGTAACAATTACAAAATTTATTGAGTTGTATACATTGTTACCGGATAAAACACTAAATCTTATCTATATACTACAAATTTTTTAAGCTATTTTATGTCAATATACACATTTCAAGATTACGCTAATAACCTTAAATTTCTCATACATTATATTGTAAATAAAATAATAAAAATTATTATCGATTATTAACAAATAAATGTGAAATTTAATTAAAATAATAAATAAATAAATGTACGTATAAACATGTATAAACATATATAAGCATTTCAAGATTCTAATCATGCAAAACTCTAATGTTTGCATGAAGTCTAGCACAAGGACCACGGTAAATTGGAGAAATAGTTTTGCAGAAGTTTGAACTTGAAACTGACGTTGTGGGCTTATATAGTTGACTTGAATTTCAAAAGACAAAATCGAACTTTCATTAAAAATAAATAGTGACACCAGCTTTAAGTTAATAAAATAAGTGACATTACTATCGAAATGGTCAGAAGTTTGTATTATGTATGATGACACGCACCTAGTGGCTCTATACATGTCATATGTTTAATATGTGTGATGTGTTTATAATATGATATGACTATGAAATAACATGTTTGATGATACGATACATGATATGAAATGATATGTTTTGTGATACGATATGTAATAGCCCAAAATATATATATATATAATATAAAAAATATAAACAAATAAAAAAATTATAAAAAAAAAAAAGAAAAGTAAAAATAATAGTTATAATAACCCTTTCATAAATAAATAACTAAAAAAGGATGACTCAAAAATAAAAAATAAAACTTACCCACCTCTCACTCACCTCTCATTTTAATCTTATCCTCTCCTCAACCCACGGCACAATATCATTGCAGATTTAGAGATTTTGGTCTCCCTAAAATCCTATCCCAGATTTCGTTTTCATTTATAGTTATGGTTATAAGAAATTAATTTAGGATCAAATCTTGTTTTCTTTATCCAATATTTTATCACAAATTTTGTTTTTATTTATAGTTAGGGTTATAAGAAATTAATTTAGGATCAAATCTTGTTTTCTTTATCCAATATAAAATGTAATAATCAAATCTCATTTTCACTTATCCAATTGGCAATTCTATAAATATGTAAGATTAGGCAAACAATCTATTAAAATTTACTAATAATATATGTTTAGAAAATAAATACTGAAGAGGAGGAAGGTCGGTTTAAAGAATGAAAATCTATTTATACTATAAGAGTGAGGAGGGAAGATTGAGAAAAGATTTGTTTAATAGAATCTAAAAATAAAATCGGAAATATCAACGAGAAACTCCATTAAATTTTGTCCACTAACGGTATATATATATATATATAACATTTCAAGACTTTTAATAATGGATCAAGGTAGATTAGAGATAATGTTATAGAGTTCAAACTTGAAACTGATGTCATGAGCTCACAGAGGTTGTCTCGGATTTCAAAGGACGGAATCAAACTTTCATTAAAGATATATTCATGACAACGACTTAAGCTAGCTAGGTAAGTGGCCTTACTATCAACATGGTTATATTTGATATTGACACGTGCATGTGGTTCTGCACGTGTCATATATATTGATATGTGTGAATTATCTGTGAATCGGTATGCTTATATTATGTTATAATATGTGGATTGTATGATAATAATTATGGTACGATGTGTTCAAGGATATATTTGAGATAGGATATGAGAATGATGCACAAAACAAAATCTAACGATGGGAGTAAGATACGTTCATGAAACGTTAAGGTTAGGTTACATACCGGAGTGCTATGGATAAGGGAGATTGACGAAAGAATATGGTTAGAATATGGGTAGAAATGGATAGGTTTGTGATAGATTGATAAACGATAGCGTTAGGATATGTTTCTGTGATGATATGACTAAGGTATGTTCACGTAACGATATGACTGTGATAGGTACAAGAACGTTAAGGCTATGATAAGTTAGGGAACGATACGACCACGAAGTGTTTATGATATGACATGTTTATGATACGATATATTGTGATGTGATATGTTATTTTTAGATTGTTTTGAGTGATCATTGAGGTAATTGTTGTATGAATTGCACGTTATGAAATGATATGTTAAAAGCATGGAGCGTTATGTTATGTTTTCTAAATTGTATGTATATAGCATATTATGAATGACATGATATCACGATAAATGAAATGAAATGTAACCCCGTTAGGATTATGTATGATACATAGACTGAAAAATGAGAAATGACATGTTAAGCATGAAAGATGATAGCAAGGTTATATTCATTAATGATAAAAGTATAAATGTTGGGGACCTCATGCATTATGTGTGCTCATGCATTTAGGGGGACAACGAACACGAGGGTACGGACGCGTACAACCAATGGCAGGACAACGATCGGTATGTTTTGCATAGCACTGCCGTGACGGTTACTAGTTCTAACGAGTGTCCGGCCTAGGGAGTGTCCCAGTGTATGCTCGCCCGACAAGTAAGGTGGCCTAACGATGTGCGAACTGACTGGTGAGCCCATACCCGCACATATGGGCTGTATATAAAGTATATAGTACACGTCCAAATGACCCGTTAGGATAGTACCATAGGAAAACAGACTGAAAGGATAGGTCCCGTCATTACATTTGCATGGTCTTGCATTTAACCGCAATAGTGGGGTCACTTACTGAGTATTTCTTTAGATACTCAAGCCATGTGCTACTACATTTTTCAAGTTAAGGCAAGACATTCTTGTACGGCTGACGACGACATCGCAACTTGAGACCATGACACATGCATAAGATAGTGGTATTTATTTTCTTAGACTTAGGCTAGAATAGGATGTTTTTAACTTAAACACTTATTGATAAGATAAGGAATCACTACAAGGGGAATAAGATTCAGATTATCTTGTCGATCGAATATCTCAAGGCAAGAACATTGTTTGAGATTCGAATCACTCCACAAGCAAAATCGATCATGTCTAGCTTGAATGATTCTTGTTGATCAAATATCTCAAGGCAAGAACACTTGATTGAAATTCGAATTATTTCACAAGCAAGATTGATCATGTCGAGCTTGAATGATTCTACATGCAACCTAAACTACATAGAATTACAATAGCCTCAATGAAACTATTAAAGGCATTACAAGAGTTGTAACATTCATACTTAATAACCATAATTAACCATTATGTAATTGTAACTAAAGTAAATAAAAACTCTTAAAATACATTAATGAAATACAATAACTCTAAATTGTAATCCACCCAAAATTTATCACATGAAACTTCATTCTTCCTCAATGTGACATGAATTGAAATATCTTTTGATAATTTCAACAATATTTTCTTCACATTTTCATTGAAGCATATTGTATGATTGATGTCTCTTGGTTCATATCACTTATTTATTTTATTTCGGGTCTTTTGTTGTGTCGTTTTAAAGATGTTTTCGAAACACGTAAATCCATGACTGTGTTTTAAGGTAAAGGTTATGTTTTATGGAATTTAAATGAAGTTTTCCGCATTCAATGTTTATGGTACGTATACAGTAGCAACCTTAAATTAAGTAGAAAATTTCGGATCGTTACATGATAAGTGTAATGATATGGTATGTTGAAGGATATAATATGTACATGCCATGATATAACACGATGTATGATAGGTCACCTAAGGGAATACAACTTTAATATAATAAGCCTCATTTATGTTCATGTTTTTGCATTTTCTAATCCCAATAGTTGGGTCAGTATTTTTTAAAAACTCAAGGCACCCTACACAGTTGACGAAAACATCACAAGTAAATATCTATATTTTAAGTAAAGGCAAGATACCCTACACAAGCAAGACACCCTACACAGTAATTGCTGATAACATCACAAGTAAATATCATGGCACATGCAATAGGTAGATCTATTTAAATTTCTTAGACCGATTATATTTAATATTTACTTTAACTTATTTAATATTTCTTTAATATTGTTTTAAATTTTTTTTCTTAAATACGTAAGTTCATACATTTAAATTTCTTAGACTTTAGGTTAGTATATAACGTGATTATACTTTTAACTTGTTTAATATTTCTTTTAATTGATTATTTCTACATAAGAAGATACGTTATGTATATAGGGTAGAGATTGATCTGCATAAGAAGCGTTATGTATATAGGGTAGAGATTGATTATTTCTGCATAAGAAGCTACGTTATGTATATAGGGTAAAAATATAGGGTTGTTACACTTTTGTTGATTAAGATACTTCAATTATCTTTTCTTGAAGTCTACAAATTTTGACAATAACTATGAAACCAATAACAATATTACTGTTGGACGAATTGAATGATATTGTCCACTTTGAGTATGAGCTCTTATGGCTTTGTTTTGAGATTCCCCGGAAGGTCTCGTAGGAGATAATATTCTTTGATTATAAGCCCATGATCATTTCCTAAATTAACCGAGGTGGTACTTTCCTCCAACAATTACAACCCGACTCAACCAACCTTGAAATCCCGGTAGGAATTAAAATCAACTAGGCAGCAAAGTAGATTAGTAAATAGCATTTAAAGCTTAATAGTAATGGTTCCCAACGTACACTTTCCTCCACATTCCCACCGGAATTTAAGAACCCACCGGAATCTGTCAAATTAGAAGCTTCAACAATGGAGGCTCCCCTTTACGATTTCATAATCCTAGCCGCCTCTGGTTTCACCGGCAAGTACGTGGTCCGACAAGCCCTCAAATTCCTCAACCCATCTCCTTCTTCCCCTCTCAAATCCTTCGCTCTAGCCGGTCGGAATCCGACAAAGCTGTCGGAAACTCTCAAATGGGCAGCTCATCCCAACTCCCCGCCGTCAATTCCGCTTCTAACCGCCGATATTTCCGACCCACAATCCATCCACCGCCTCTGCACCCAAACCAAGCTCATCCTCAACTGCGCCGGACCCTTCCGCCGCTACGGCGAGCCGGTGGTAGCGGCGTGTGTAGAGACAGGGTGCGATTATTTGGACATTTGTGGGGAGCCGGAGTTCATGGAGACAATGGAAGCTAATTATCATGAGAGAGCGGTTGAGAATGGTTGTTTGGTGATTTCGGCTTGTGGGTTCGACTCGGTTCCGGCTGAATTGGGTTTTATTTTCAATTCCAAGCAATGGGTTGGGGAATCGGCGCCGAACCGGGTCGAGGCGTATTTGAGCTTGGAATCCAAGAACAAAATTGTTGCGAATTTTGGGACACTTGAGTCGGCTGTTTTGGGTGTCGCTAATGCCGACCGGTTAGTGCAATTGCGGCGGTCGAGGCCTAGAAGACCTCGGCCAACGGTGAGGAAAATTCCACAATTTTAAATATATATTTGAAAATATTTGAAATTTATGGAACATTATTAAAATTTATTATGAATTTTGTTGTGTCAGATTCCGGGTTGTCCTCCTCCTAAAGGACCAACTGTGGAACACAACAAAGAGACAAGCCTTTGGGCTGTAAGATTACCTTCAGCTGATTCCACTGTTGTTCGTAGAACACTCTCTTCTCTAGCTCAAAACCCTCATGGTCTTCCCGGTGTTAACGAGCACGTCGAAGAGATCGAACAGAGGACGACGTTTTGGTCGTCGGTGAAGCCAGCTCATTTCGGCGTAAAAATTGGCCATAAGTCATTGATTTGCATTCTCCAAATGATTGCGGTTGGAATGATCATAGGTTTGTTGAGTAGAAGTTTGTTCGGGACGTGGCTTCTTTTGACATTCCCTTCGATTTTTAGTCTCGGTTGGTTTAGGAAGAACGGTCCTTCTGAAGACGAGGTCGATAGTGCGTCGTTTAAGATGTGGTTTGTTGGTCATGGTTTTAGTAATAATAATGGTGGAGGGAATCGAGAACTCGATATGAAAGTTGTAACGAGAGTGATGGGGCCTGAATCTGGATATGTAGCTACTTCGATAATCCTTGTTCAATGTGCTTTTGTTGTTCTAAGCAAACGCGAGATTCTTCCAGAAGGAGGAGTTCTTACTCCTGGTATTGTGTTTGGACCTACTAATCTTCAGAAAAGACTCGAAGAGAATAGGATAAGTTTTGATGTTATTTCAAAGCATGCTCCGTTGCAGAAGTTGTAGTCAGGTTCTTTCAGAGATCATTTGCGATATGCTTTAGGTACTCCCAGTAAAATAAACTCGATAGATGAGAATAAAATTGTTCTTTTACTTATACAACTTAAGATAAATAAGAGCTTATATTATCTGCTACTCGATCTTGAGTTTTGCAATGCTTCATCGTTATTTTCCATCTTTAACCAAGTCTCTAATGAAACGGTTACTTCTTTAGTAAAAAAAACTTGATTCTTTGATAGTAGAACCATTATCACAAAATAAAACCGTTTCACGTTCCTTGAACACACTTTAACCTTTTCAACGTCCATTTAACCCATAAAGCTTGATATCCAACTGTAGATATATTATGCTTCGATGGTAGAAACAGCCATAATAAGTTGTTTCTTTGAGCTCCGTGAAAAAGAATATGAACCAATACTAAAAACATAACCTAATGTACTTTTATGAACATCAAAATCACAACCCTAATCACTATCATGATATCGAATCAATATGGATACGAGAATATTTTATTTGCAATAAATTCCATGCCATATATGTAACCAATAACTTTTTTTACCTACTTCCCATTGATTTCTTTGTCCTTGGCATGAATCTACTTACCAATATTTACTTCCCATCAATTTATTTGTCTTTTTTCATGAATCTACTTACGATATTTACTTCGAAATGACTTTTTTTGGACTTGTCATGAATCTACTTACCATATTTACAACGAATAAAATATCATGTCTCGTTACTGTCAAGTACATCAAGCTCCCAACTAAACTTTGATACAAACTAAGGCCAACTTCTTCTTCATTAGCATCTTACTTGTCACGACCCAATTTTTGAGATTTCGAAACTCGGACCATGACTAAAAAAAAAAAAGACTAAAAGTAATTAAAATAAAAGATAAAAATGCAATAAACTTTAAATCAAATATAGACAAACAACAACCATACGATTAAATACAAAATAAAATCCAATTATAATACAGTGGTGGTTCGAATTTTTTACAAAGGAGAAAATGAGTTTGAGTGTAATTACAAAACGAAATGTAAAAGACTCAAATATAAAGACGAATTGACACTCTGGAATGACTTCATCTGTGACCATGCAACTCTTGAATACTCTACACGTTGATCAATAACCTGCGAATATCTGAAAAAGAAGGAAAAATGGTGTGTATAAAAATACTCGGTAAGCAACCTACTTGTAGGCTCTTATCATATCCTTAACCTAGTAGGTTTCCACGGGCCGTACTTTAGGCGGTAGGGATTTTCAACCTACTCTCTACTACTCTCTAAAAATCTCGGAGACCTCAAAATTTTGAGCAAATCTTTGATCTGGATTTTAACCCTAGGGGTCTTTACGGATTTTTCAACTTTTTTGTTCTTTGACATAGATGATTGTTTTGCTTATGTAGTCAATGCCTAGTGTCCTAAGGCGTCCTAGGTTAAGGCACTGCCTCATAATAATGTGGTGGGACACCATGATGTTTGTTAGCCAAAAAATCATGGGAGGTTAGCTGACGAACTCTCCCACAAAACCATATAGCCACCCTAGTCTGGGGAAGAGACCCTCGAGTGCTTGCCGTCTGTTGTGTCTACCTACGTGGTCCCACATCCCCTCTTAGGATGGATTCTACTATACAGGGCAAACATCTAGTTGCCTTAATGCGCTACACTACCCACCCTAAGCTTGACTCGATGGTACCTATACTACTACCACTTGGTAGGGCGCGGTTGTTGGTATTTATGCCCTAAAGCCTCGTAATTAATTATTTAATTTTTAATAAAATTTTATTTACCATTTAATATTATCCATGGTATGAAAATCCAAGGTCATTAATGTAATCTTGAATAGTATGTGCTTGACATACAAGAGAATTGTGTTTAAGTAATTGTTAAGTTATGGAGCATGCTGCTTATTTATAGTTTAGTCAACGTTATGCCTAGTAAGACTATATTTAGTAAATGACATATAAAGCAAATTGTCATAAACAGTAAATAGCTATGTATAGTAAAAAGCTATATCTAGTAAAACTAGTAGATGATTATATCAGTAAAGCTATATATAGTAAGCTAAACCATATATATATATATATACCTAGTCAGAGCTAGGATTCTCTGTATTTCTCTTGTACATACTTGGAGTCATCAATACAAATCCTTTAGCCAATATTCTCCTTGCATTTTCTCTATCTTGTTATTTGTGTTCATCTAGATCGAGTGTATGCGTTGTTGTGCGATCCTAACAACTGGTATCAGAGTTAGGCAAAATTCACCACGATCTGTGAAGATGGAAAGCTTAAAGATTGAAATTAAGAAGTTCGATGGATCCGATTTCAGTTTATGAAAAATGCAGATTGAAGATTATCTATATCAGAAAGGTCTTCATAAACCCCTATTGGGGGTGATGCCGGATACCATGACCACGGAGCAGTAGAAGCTTAAGGATTGACAAGCCTTAGGGTTAATCTGATTGACGCTATCCAAAAACGTGGCATTCAACGTCATCAAGGAGAAGACAACGTCAGATCTGTTGAAGGCGATGTAGAATATGTATGAAAAACTGTCGGCTATGAACAAGGTGATATGTGGTAATCACTACAAGGGGAGTAAGACTCGGATTACCTTGTTGATCGAATATCTCAAGGCAAAAACATTGTTTGAGATTCGAATCACTCCACAAGCAAGATCGATCATGCCTAGCATGAATGATTCTTGTTGATCAAATATCTCAACGCAAGAACACTTGTTTGAGATTTGAATCACTCCACAAGCAAGATTGATCATGTCAAGCTTGAATGATTCTACATGCAACCTAAACTACATAGAATTACAAAGAAACTTAGTCATTGGCTAAAGAAGAGCATAAATGCTTCTTTTACTATATTTTCCAAGTCTTTTACAAATACAACATACATGGTTTTATATAGCCTCAAAATGAAACTATTAAAGATATTCCAAGAGTTGTAACATTCATACTTAATGACCATAATTAACCATTATGTAATTGTAACCTAAAGTAAATAAAAAGTCTTAAAATATATTAATGAAATACAATAACTCTAAATTACTCTAAATTGTAATCGACCCAAAATTTATAACATGAAACTCCATTCTTCTAAAATGTGGCATGAATTGAAATATCTTTTGATAATTTCAACAATATTTTCTTCACATATTCATTGAAACATATTGTATGATTGATGTCTCTTGGTTCATATCACAAGGTGATATGTGGAAATCACTACAAGGGGAGTAAGATTTGGATTACCTTGTTGATCGAATATATCTCAAGGCAAGAATATTGTTTGAGATTCGAATCACTCCACAAGCAAGATCGATCATGTCTAGCTTGAATGATTTTTGTTGATCAAATATCTTAACGCAAAAATACTTGTTTGAGATTCGAATCACTCCACAAGCAAGATTGATCATGTCGAGCTTGAATGATTCTACATGCAACCTAAACTACATAGAATTACAAAGAAACTTAGTCATTGCTAAAGAAAGCACAAATGCTCCTTTTACTATATTTTCCAAGTCTTCTTACAAATACAACACACATGGCTTTATATAGCCTCAAAATGAAACCATTAAAGGCATTACAAGAGGTGTAACATTCATAATTAATGGCAATAATTAACCATGATCTAATTGTAACCTAGAGTAAATTAAAAGTCTTAAAATATTTTAATGAAATACAATAACTCTAAATTGTAATCCATCCAAAATTTATAACATGAAACTTCATTGTTCTTCAATGTGGCATGAATTGAAATATCTTTTGATAATTTCAACAATATTTTCTTCACATCTTCATTGAAGCATATTATATGATTGATGTCTCTTAGTTCATATCATTCTTCACTTTTTCAAGAGGATTCGTCCTCGAATCTATTTGTGAAACTTTGCTGCAAAAAATAAGTTATGGAAATACGAAGGACCTCACAACACTCTCTCACGAGTATACACTCAAGGAATTTTAGGCCACTCTTTTTACACTCATTTACACAAATGAAGCTCTCCTTCTCACCTCTCAAAATTTTAAATAGAGCAAAGATTGAATTTTGAACTCTGGGTCGATCAAAAACTAAAAAGATAAAAATAAATAAAAATTAAATTGAGAAGAAATGCAAAGGAAACATATATCCGATCTTGAGCCTGAAGCTCTGATACCAAATGATAAGATAAGGAATCACTACAAGGAGAATAAGATTCGGATTACCTTGTTGATCGAATATCTCAAGGCAAGAATATTGTTTGAGATTCGAATCACTCCACAAGCAAGATCGATCATGTCTAGCTTGAATGATT